CTCTACCACTGAGCCACAACCCCAGCCCTCATCTTCTCTTTATTTATTTATTTATCTTTTGTGGGGGTACTAGGGTTGAACTCAGGAGCACTCAACCACTGAGCCACATCCCCAGTCCTATTTTGTATTTTATTTAGACACAGGGTCTCACTAAGTTTCTTAGTGCCTCACCATTGCTGAGGTTGGCTTTGAACTCGCGATCCTCCCGTCTCAGCCTTAAGATTGGCTGGGATTACAGGTATGTGCCACTGCGCCTGGCTCACCTTCTTTTTTATTGTAGTAAAGTGTATGTAACATAAATTTTCCATGCTAACTAACCATTTGAAGTGTATTGTTCAGTGGCATTAAGTACATTCATACTGATGTGCAGCCATTACCACTATCTTCCAGCTCTTTTTCATTTTGCAAAACGGAAACCCTATACATTAAACAATAATTTCTTGGGAGTCTGAGGTAGGAGGACTGTGAGTTCAAAGCCAGCCTCAGCAACTTAGAGAGGCCCTAAAGCAACTCAGTAAGATGCTGTCTCTTAAAAAAAAAAAAAAAAAAAAAWATATATATATATATATATATATATATATATATATGAGAGCTGGGGATATGGCTCAGTGGCTGAGCACTCCTGGGTTCAATCCCCAGTACTAAAGAAAACAAAAAACAACAATTTGCCATTCTCCCTCTCCCAGCCCTTGGTAACCTCCATTCTACTTTTTGTCTATGAATCTGATTACTTTAGGTGCCTCATCCAGGTGAAATCACACAGTATTTGTCTTTCTGCAACCCTGATCTCTTCTGGTTCTTATTTGCATGGAATATCTTCTTCCACCCATTTATTTCAATCTGTCTGTGTCTTTGGATCTAAAGCTGAGTCTCCTATAGAAAACAAATTTCTGCCAATTTCTAAATTTTGACTGGACAATTTAATACATTTACACTTAAAGTAATTATTGATAAGGAAAGACTTACTTCTGTCTTCCTGTTTGTTTTATATATGCTTTATAGCTTTTTAGTYCCTACTTCCTCCTGTATTATTGTCTTTTGTGTTTAGTTGATTTTTCAGTGTCATGTTTTAGTTCCCTTCTCATTTCTTTTTGTATATTCTATAGCCATTTTCATTGTAGTAACATGGGAATTACATTTAACATCATTATGTTGTAAGACTCTAAGCTATTACTTTTAAAATAGTTATGTAAAAAATAACATAAATGATGAATGTGTGTGTGTATATGACAAAAGGCATTTCAAAAAATTTGAATTCCTAAATACCATATTAAGAACATTATTATTAGCTGGGCATGGTGGTGCATGCCTATAATACCAGTGGCTTGGGAGGCCGAGGCAGGAGGATCGAAGCAAGTTTAAGGTCAGACTCAGCAACTCAGTGAGGCCCTAACCATCTGTTTCAAAATAAAAAATTAAAAAGGGCTGGGGATGTGGCTTAGTGGTTAAGTGCCACTAGGTTTAATCTCTGGTATCAAAAAATAAAAATAAAATTTAAAAAATTAACGTTTCATTTAAACAGTTGTCTTATTTCAAATTCCTGAATTAGAGGCTGAAAACATGATATAGCTCGTACAAATACTCCTGTGACAATCCAAAGTTCATAACAGTAAAACAAGAGTTTGTCCGTCACTATTGGTATTATTTTTTGAGGTTGTTTTGTTTTTTGGTATCTGGGACTGAACCCAGAGAACTTAACTGAGTCACATCCTAAGCCCTTTTTATTTTATTTTATTTTGAGACAGGGTTTCGCTAAGTTGTTTAGGACTTCATTAAGTTGCTGAGGCTGGCTTTGAACTTGTGATCCTCTTGCTTCAGCTTCCTGAGTCACTGGGATTACAGGTGTGTGCCACCATGCCCAGTGAGTATAGTATTTTCATCAGTATCTGGTACATAGCTGATGCAGTTGTTGAATTAATCAGTTAGTAAATCTGCCCCAAATTAACCAGACAAGAATTAAAGATCTCTAGTCTTTGGAAAAGCATTTTTTATATTTTGCATTTCTTCTAGTTGGAAGTTTCTTTAACCTATTACAAAAGACCACAAATGACTTTAATTCTAATTAGCAACACTGAATGGAGACATAATATAGAAAAGACTGGATAAAGCAGATTACTCAATAAGGCTCTTGTTAGCAGGAATTTAAAACCAAACATGAAAGCTATAATGCAATTTTAACCACCTTTCTCTCTCTTGTAACAGGTACTTATAATTAGGTAAAAAGCTATTGAGTAACTATGCAATTCAGAAAAACCAATGCAAAAGATATACAGGCAGAGAAAAGAAAAAGGGTATGTACAGAAACAATTAATGTCAATCTCTCTTGTTTTCTAGTCTATCAAAAAATTTCATTATGACAATCTTGTAAGCATTGCCCCAATACACATGCCCTCCTATTTGCCAGCTAATTTTAGCTGGGAATTTTTTTTTTTAATTCTCTAATATGAGGAAACTGAGAGATCATTTTAAGATAATAGAATTAATTACATTTTACAGACACTCAAAACTGAGATAATCTGACATTATAATTTTAGCATATTCCATATTTTGGAACAAAAATGATCTTTGAGAATGCAGACTTAAATGTATTAGGAGAGATGAGATATTCTGTTGTGGGAATTTCACTTTATATTTTTAGTTTTAAGCTAACAGTGTAGTTTAGCATACTCATACTCATGGAAATAAAAGGTCAACTGGCCTTTATTTAGACTGACAGCTATTAGTACTACTACTATAAAAGATGTGGTAGTAGAGGCACTAGTGGAGTTAAGGTACTAGATAGTGGGCTGGGGATGTGGCTCAAGCGGTAGCGCGCTTGCCTGGCATGCATGCGGCCCGGGTTCGATCCTCAGCACCACATACAAACAACGATGTTGTGTCCATCAAAAACTGAAAAATAAATATTAAAATTCTCTCTCCTCTCTCTCTCTCTCTTAAAAAAAAAAAGATACTAGATAGTGATACCATGGATGGAGTCTGGAAATGGAAAATATAAGTACAACCCCCTCAGAAAACTTCTGAGACTTGTCCTAAGGTAATCACTTCTGTTCCACTAAGGCGGTAATACTGGCTTCATCCAGAGTGAAGAGAAACAAAACAATAGAATAATAATCTCTTCTACCACAAGCCAGTGTTTCCCAAACCAAGCTAGGGCCCACCAGCAGTACTTGGCCAGCACCAGAGGGTAGTGGTTTAACCGTGACTCTGAATTCAGAGAGGAAAATGGCTGCTCACTGCACACCCTGCCCTTCTCACTATGGAGGCTGTGGGTCAGACTATGCCAGGAATGAAGCAGAAGAGAGGTTACCGGAGCTTCTTTAGACCACGAAGATGGCAAACCCATTCTGGTTCAAATCACTTCCATGGGGCTCTGTCAAAACGACGCTCATATACCCTGTGTTTGCCTCTGTTGCCTCACCCTTACCCTACAACCACTGAAGCACTTTTTCAAAACCTCTAGAGCAATAAAGGGGTGTTTGAAAATCACTAGTTTAGATTACCTTCAACCAATGCCAGAATTCCTTGTACAGAGTCCCTGACAGATGCTTGCCCAGAATCCTGAGCCCTTACAGTGTTGCATTATGTACTTATTCTGCCACTCAGAAGATCTGACTCTTAGAAAATATTTCCCAACATCAAACTGAAACCTGCCTCCTTCCTACCTTCATATTTTGGTTCAAGTTCTGTTTCTTGAGGTTGCAAGCCACAGATCTATGTTATTCCCTTTTCCCTGACTAATTAAATTAAATACTATTCACTGGCCAACACCATCCTAAGTCCTACCTCTGCTCTGACAACCCCTCCCCCAGTGCTCCCCGTGTCCTCCACTTCCTGAAGCATACTTGTATGGCCACTCTTTGGCACTTGTGCTTCACAGTCTTGGTTATCTTTGGCATTCTTTAGGCTTTCCTAATAAGAACATAATCTCTTGAGGCTTGTAAATTCTTGGTCTTTTTTTTTTTTTTTTAATGTTTACCTCCATATCCCTTCATCATGCTGTAGCAGAGTAGATGAATACACATGTGTGTCCTCTGTGAACTGGCCCTAACCACAATAGTTTACTTACTTTCTATCACATTTCCTTACAAAAATCTGTTATTCTAATCACTTTCAACTGCCAAACTCTACCCTGTGCCTACCCCCTTTTGCTAATACTTTCTTGTTCTCTCATTTTGACCTCTCCTCCTCTAGGGCAAGTAGTATTAGCCTGGGGTTGATGAACTCTGATGCTGTACACAACATATACATTTATTTTTTGTGGGAGAGGTTCCATAGTTTTTATGCAACTTTCAAAAGATCTCATGACTCAAAAAAAAATATTACTTTTATAATGCCCTATCGCTTCTCAACCAAATCTCTATTACTGAAGACCCAGTTCATTCCCCTGGATTCAGAAACCACCCATATAAGGGAGATTTTTTTTTTTTTTTAATATTTATTTCTTTTTAGTTTTCGGCAGACACAACATCTTTATTTGTATGTGGTGCTGAGGATCGAATCCGGGCTGCACGCATGCCAGGCAAGCGCGCTACCTCTTGAGCCACATCCCCAGCCCATAAGGGAGATTTTTTAGGTTCTAAATATATACATATATAATTTTATATAAATATATTACTATGTATAATTATATAATATATATAAATTATATAAATGTTATTATATATGCTATAATATATAAATTATCATTTTATATATAAACATAAATATCTCTACCATTAACTTGATTATCATTTTACTTTGTGAAACTTTAATATCTTTATTGTGACTTAATTCTTTTGTTATGTGATTTTCACGATTATGAACTCTTCACAGCAGGTTCAAAGTCTGCTATATGTATACTTTCTACAAAGCAGGCACTCAATAATACTACTGTGGACATAAATTAAGATGGTGATTCCCCTTCAACTTAATAAGTGTAGGAACTCAGCTTCAAAGGTGTACATCACAGCTGTGACACTGACTGGAGTTGGGCAAAATGCCATAGTTAGCTGCCCCCTTACCTCTGCTTTACGAATATTTTCTCTAGCTTCATCTATTTTCTGTTCCAGTTCTGCTCGGCTTTGTTCTGATACGGCAACTCCATGGCATTCAAGTTCATTTAGAACCTAAAGAGAAAACAGGTACAGAAAATAAAAATAATCCTCCTTCTCATCTTTGTTCCTTGAGTGATTATTTGAAAGATTTTAGTAACTAAAACCATGATCCCTTTTTTTTAACAAATTATTATCCTTTCTTTAACTTGTAATTTTGTTTCATTCATTTATTTAATTTAAAAAATCTGGATTATAGACTCTGTAAGTTGCAAAACTAGTACACACTCCCTTCATCCAACTTCCCTCAGTGGTAAAAATTTATATAACTTTACATTAGTAGTTTCCCTTTATCCTCAGGAGATTCTTTCCAAGACCCTCAATGGATGCTAAAAATGCTGGTAATACTGAATTCTAAAATTACTATGTATTTTTCTATAAGCCCTGCAACAATGCTTCTCGGTGGAAGAATTAATCTGTTTTATGTCATGGTGCCATCTTTGCATCGCTAGTCTTGTATTCTGTTGTTATTAAGTAAAATAAAAGGTTAAACAAAACACTCTGATATTATAACAGTGGATTTGATAATCTAACTGGCTACTCAGTAAGTAACAGGTGGATAGGGTACGTAGTGTAAAAATTATGGTTAAAGTGTTTTGGGTCTTGGGTGGGAAAGAATGAGACTTCCATATGTTATTCAGAATGGTGTGCAATTTAAAACATCTAAAATGTTTATTTCTGAACTTTTACATTTAGCATTTCTGGGCTGTGGTTGACTTCAGGTAACTGAAACCATGGATAGTGAACTGCAGATAAGTAGAGCTACTGCAATAGAATATAGAAATTGACATTGGCTCAATCTACAGATCTTACTTGGATTGTACAAGTTTTGACATGCATACCTTTAGTTTTTAAAATACTGTTACAAAACAATTAATGCAAAATTAATGCAAAATGGCAAAAGTTTTTTATTACACTGTATAATCTATTATGGGGTAAAACTGTCATACCATCAATTAATTTTTATTTTTTCCAAACCACTTTTGAGCATTTCTATATATATAAAACAAACAGAAAATTTTGTTTAAAAAAATAAAATTAGATATACTATCTTCTCAATGTTTCTAAGAAAGCTTTTCATGTCTGTATAAATAGACTGACCTCATTCTCTTTAATTAATCTATAGATCCAAGAATTTAACTGTACCATGTTTCATTTATTCTTACTCTATTTGCCTTTTGAATTTTCAAATTTCTCAACATTATACGTGGTTCTGTACAAATGTACAATGACTTTTTGTACAAGTCAATGACTTTTTGAACACATATAGGAATATTTAAGATAAAAATATAAAAGCAGAAATTGAACATTTTAATTTTAATAGACATTACCAGATTATCTACACAAAGTTGTACCTACTCTTCCTTGTATCTTACCCACACTGAATTTTGCCAATCTTTAAAATTATGCCAACGAATTTTTTAAAAAATGATCTCACTGTTGAGTTAGTTCTTCCAAAAAAAAAAAAATCAATAAAATTGAGAAAACTTTAGCCATGCTAACCAAGAGAAAAAGGGAAAAAACTCAAATTTCTTAAATTCATGATGAAAAAGGATATATCACCACAGACACCACTGAAATACAGAAGATGATCAGAAACTATTTTAAAAACTTATACTCCAATTAAACAGAAAATCTTGAAGACATCAAAAAATTTCTAGAGAAATATGACCTACCCAAATTGAATCAGGAAGACATACAAAATTTAAACAGGTAAATTTCAAGCGATGAAACTGAAGATGCCATGAAAAGCCTACCAACAAAGAAAAGCCCAGGACTTGAAGGATTCTCAGCTGAGTTCTACCAGACCTTCCTTCAAAGAAGAACACGAATTCACTTCAAACTATTCTATAAAATAGAAAAGGAGGGAATCCTTCTAAAATCAACCTATGACCAGACAAAGATACACCAAGGAAAGAAAACTTCAGGCCAATATCCCTGATCAACATAGATGCAAAAATTCTTAGTAAAATACTGGCAAATCACATAGAAACTTATTTAAAAGAGTGCACCATGATCAAGTGGGTTTCATCCCAGGAACACTGGCTCAACATCCAGAAATCCATAAATGTAATTCACCATATTTTCAGGTCTCTAATTAATGGAGAATCATTTTATATGTTGCTAGCAATTTGTACTTCTATTTCAATTCACTTTTTAATCCTTTTATTATTATTAAAATATATTTCTTTCTAGATATTTACTCCTTTTTTTTCTATTATTTGTTATAAACATTTCCTTCTACTCTATCTCCTTTCCTTTTTTTAATGCTCTTTTGTTTTGCAGAAATTTTTAATTTTTATGTGGTCACATTTTATCAGTCTTTTCCTTTATAGCTCCTGAGTTTTGTTTTGTTTAAAAAGGTATATGGCTGGGCGCAGTGATGAATGCCTGTAGTCCCAGCAGCTCTGGAGGCTGAGTCTGGCAGATCGCAAGTTCAAAGCCAGCCTCAGCAATGGCAAGGAGCTAAGCAACTCAGTGAGACCCTGTCTCTAAATAAAATTTAAAAAAAAGGTGTGGGGCTAGGGATGTGGCTCAGTAGTTGAGTACCCCTGAGTTCAACCCCTGGTACCCCCCCACCCCAAAAAAGGGTATCTGTAATATACCAAAAATATGGGGCTGAGGTTGTGGCTCAGTGGTACAGGGTTTGCCTAGCATGTGTGAGGGACTGAGTTCAATTCTCAGCACCACATATAAATGAATAAAATAAAGGCCCACTGATAACTAAAAAAATTATATATATATATATATATACATACACACACACACACACACACACTCTAGGTTCTTCTAGTTTTTTAATAGTCATGTTTAGCGCTTAGCACTTAGCTCTTTAGTTTTCTAAAATTTATTTTGTATATAGTGGAAGAAAGAAATCTAATGGTGTATTTTTCCCTAAACATACACAATTGCTAAATCCATTTACTAAAGGATTTACTAACTCTTTTCCCCAAAGATTTGAAATGCCATTAACTTTTTTTTTTTTTTTTGGTAGTGTATGGAATTGAACCCAGGGCTTCATGCATGCTAAGTACATACATGTTCTATCACTCAGCCATACCCCCAGGCTAACATGTTTTCTATTATAAAAGAATTCAAATATACTCGAAAGTTTTAGAGCATCTATTACGATAAATCCCATATATTAATCACTGAGATTCAAAAAAATGTTAAAATTTGCTTTACCTATCCTTTTTGTTCTTTGCTACAGCATTTGAAGAAAAAAAATCGATATTAAGTCATTTTATTCCTACATGTTATAATAAATGTCTCTAAATGTGAATTGTTTTATACAACCATAATACCATTATCAGACCTAATAATAATTTCTTGGCAGCTTTTAATTCACTGTTCATCATTATATTTCCCTCCTACCTGAAAAATGGCATCTTGATTGACATTTCAAATCTTTGGGGAAAAGAGTTAGTAAATCCTTTAGTAAATGGATTTAGCAATTGTGTATGCCAAAAATGGTATGTTGATAAGACCATTATTCTAAATTATCATATGTTCTTTAATAGATTTGCTATTTTTTTTATTAGACCACAGTTAATTTCTGTGGTCATTATTTTATGATTTAGTATGTGGTAAGTCTCATTCTTGTGTGTTTATAAAAAGAATTCCAGGTAAATTTTAGAGCCAGAATGTCAAGCTTCTCCAAATATATTTTCTAAGTTTCATTAAAATTTTATACTCCTTTACCTTATCAGTATTTTACTGCTGTGATGAATAACTTTTTTTCCACTGTATTTGCAATTTATTATTTCTGATTAATGAGAAAACTGAAGTTTTCCTTTTTCCCTTCAGTTTTGAAGACTGAACCCAGGCCTCACTCATGCTAGGCAAATGATCTACCACTGAGCCAGATTCCTAACCTCAGAGAATTAATGATTTCTAAAAATATATTCTTGTATTTGTTCACTTTACTAAACCATCATTGACAATTGGGTCTTGGTATTTTGGGTACACATATTATTGATAAATAATGATGGATGTGCCTTTTCCTAATATTTAAATCTCTTAACTGGTTTTCTTTAATTAATACATTGACTAATCCTATATGACACTGAAAAGTAGTGGTGATGATAGATGTTGTTTTCTTGTTTTATCACTGTAATAAGCAGCATGACTTTGAAGATGTAAATACCCTGGTGTCTGAAACTGTGGGTATTTATGATGTAATGTGCAGAAGTATTAGAGTTAGGAACCTTAAAATAATGAGATCATCCTTGATTACCTAAGTGAGTCCAATATAATCATGTGATATCTTTCAAGCAAAGAATTTTCTCTGGCTAGAGTAAGATAAGAGATGGGTAGAAAGGAAATTAGAGATTCTAAGCAGAAGGATTCAGTGTGCCATTGCTGATTCTGAGATGTGGAAGCACAAGTGCAAGGAGCAGGAAGAGTAGCTTCTAGGGGCTAAAGACAGCCTCTAGCTAATAGCTGGGAAGGAGACAGGGAACTCAATCTTGTCTTCTTCTTTTTAGTTGTAGATGGACACAGTACCTTTATTTTATTTATTTTTATGTGGTGCTAAGGATCAAACCCAGTATCTCACATGTGCAAGGCATGTTATTATATATATATTTATCATTTTTACAAGTTTGTTTTACCTTTGTCTAAAATCAACAGACCATATATGCATGGGCCTACTTTTAGACTCTTCATTTTGTTCCATTCATCTGTAAGTATATCCTCATACCAATGCTAAAACATCTTGATTAGTATAGTTTTACGTCTTGAAACCAGGTGGAGAAAGCCCTCCAATCTAATCCTTCTTTTTCAAAATTGTTTTGGCTATCTTAGATGATTTGCATTTTCACATATCTTTGAGAATTAGCTTGTTAATTAAAAAAAATGCTGGGTATTTAACCTGTATTACATTGAATATATGGAGAAAACTGGTATTTAAAAAATAGTCTTCATATACTGGGTGTAGTGGCGCAAGCCTATAATCCTAGCAGCTTGGGAGGCTGAGGCAGGAGGATCTCAAGTTCAAAGTCAGCCTCT